GATTTTATCAATATACATATGACAAATTGTTTTTTAGCGTCAGATTTGAAAAAAAGTAATTCTTTTAATGGTAAATTTTAAAAAAATGGTAATTTTTAGCTGTTTAAAAATTTGTCAAATTTTTTAGCTCTTCATTTGAATTTGTTTCTTATCAATGATAAAAAGGATAAAGCAGCAAAATTATTGCTTAAATCATGGGAAAAAATTATACGAAATATTTTATTGCCGAAATATTTGGAACGATTAATGGAAGAAATTACTATGCGTAAGAAAAAATTGGTATTTATTATTTTATGCAAATCTTTAAATCTTAAATTTTAAATTTAAATGTATAAATAAAGTGTTGGAAAGTGTTGTTAGCAGTAAAATATTATTAAAATTAAAAAATTATTCAAATATTCTGGTTCATTTAATTTTTCTTCCCCCAATTTAATTTTTCGCAACTTTTTTTTAATAATTTATTAGGATACGAAAATAAATACAAGAAATGATGAATATTTACGGGAAGAATTTCAAAATGGTGAATTATACATAAACATTGATAACGAGGATGTAATCTATGATAAGCCGAAGAAAATCATTGAATGGATGCTAACAAGAAAAGAGATTGAGGTGATATTTCGAGATCTCGGGACTCGAGAATGATTTTTATTGATGTAATTTTACCGTAGATACCTTTAAACGCAACGTAGTTGAAGCAAAATCAAACAACTCATCAAAAATTACCAATTAAAATTGAGATATGGAAGAATAATTACTTGAAAAATTTGAATAGTGATAAAGTGATCCTTACCTTAACACTTTATTACCAAATGATTTCTTATCTTTCCAACGAAGTATATCAAAAATTCAGTAGTAATTAGAAGCAAATTAATGGCATAGAATTAATTATCGAAAGTTTTTACCAACAAAAATACGAAATTCAGAAAAAAACTTGATTATATTATTGATTCATTACAGAATATCAGTGAATTGATTAATGATATGGATGAAATAAGACGAAAAGATGGAAATGATAAGGAAATTATGGAAAAAGCAGCAATCAAAATCCAACAATGGTGGAAAAACGATCATTTTTGAAGAATTTCCAAGAACTGAGTAATATTATCATTATCAACCAATGGTGAAATAACCATAGCAATCAAGAGTAACG